GTACCCTGGTTGCCGCTTGATCCCGAGGCCCGTCTTTTGGGCCCAAAGCCAAAAAGGGTTTCAAAAACCATGAAACTAGCACAGGGGCACCTCACTCCTTGGCTTTCCTTGCATTCCCAAAAGCCCTAACAAGTCCCCTACCGTCCCCTCCATCCCCAAGCATCCCCCCCCCCCCCCACCTGCTCCACCCCCCCTCCCCGATTTCCGCGCCAAAGGCTAGAGCGGTCCCCAGCAGCACCAAGGTGGCCAGGCCCGCCTGACGGCACTAAATGACCCCCGGGACTTGGAAGACTTGGCTCCATTGTTACGGCCGAAGGATGGGAGCTCCCATGCAAGCTGTGAGGGAGGTCAGTTTGGGATCAGTCCTAGCTTGGGATTGGGTGCGTGGTTTCCAGTGGGTTTTGCTGGAATTTGAAGCTGTGAGATTGGGTTCGTGGGTTGCATTGCATGAGTTTTTGTGGATTTTGGAAGCTGGTGGATGAAAGAGGAAAGTGTCCCCGGACGGCAAACCTCGAAAATCCAGGAAAGTTGAGCTTGTTGGCTTCTCTTCGGGCATCACAAGTATGGGTGTTTTGTTCATTGAGGGGGTGCTTTGGACATGGGGATTTGTGTCCAACCATTTGAGAGGGCATCCCTCATCAGTACCCCCAAAACAAACACGCCCTGAACTCATGGGTTGAGGGGCATGCGTCATGGAACGGTTCCGACCTGTCGGTTGCGCGCATTTATTTCACCGGAGCCCTCCTTTCTCAAGAGGACATGGAGTCTCGGGCGGCTGGTCCTTTGGAGGCTACCCCCCCCCTTATTCTTGGTGGGCCGAAAAACGGGAAGCCAAAAAACGAAAACCAAAAAGCCCCTGGCTGGGCCCAGGTCCCGATCCAATTTCTGGGCCCCCGGCCGCCGCGGCGATGGCGCCGGCGCCTGGCAACTTCCGGACGCGCCTTCCGAAAGGGACAAAAGTTGGCAGCCCGGCGATGCAAACGTCGTCCGAATCTGTTTGCAAACGAAATCCAAGACCTGAAGGGATCCCAACTTCTTCCATTTTCTTGGCCGGAAAATTCCCAAACCTGAATGAAGGGATTTTTAAAGGACCTTTGGAGTGAGCCGGGGTTTACCCTGGAATCTGTGAGATTGCTGTAACATGGGCAGATGACATCCGGGTTCGCTGTGTGCCCCAAAGACCGCTATGGGACAAACAGGTGATGTTCCAAACCAGCACAAGGGGCAGGCGAACCTTCAGGTTGGACGTAGGGTTGTCTCCAACGTGGCGTTCCAGTTGTTTGCATTTTGCAACAGCTCAAACACCTGAGTGAACTCGGCAACTGACTCTTCTCAAGAAAAAAAAAGGGAAGCCCTCTGCCCTCACATCCCCTGCCAAAACAACTTGTGGGAAACCACTCGACCAAGGAAAAAACACCAGGCGAAGAACCGGATGGCTCCCGAACCGAGCGCTCGCTTGAAGCATCAGCTGCCTCTGCATCCCGGCGGTGGGGACCCGCTCGAGGCGCCTGCCGACCAGACCGGCCAAGCAAAAGTGGTTGGAGGCTTTTCTGAAAAGAAAATTTCGTGGCTCCGGCCTGTGTCAATTTGCTTTGCGGACATGTTTTTTGAAAAGGCTCCTTGCTGTTGCATCATCTTCCGCGGGGAGAGGCTTGTCTTGCTTGTCCACCCCTTCTTTGGGTCGGTGGGTTGGCAGGTCGGTTTTGTTGGTTGTGGCAAATGCACAACGAGTGTTCCGGCTGGTGCACGGGCAGCCTCGCACAAGGTGTATCGGTGAGCTGCAGGAGTGCATCTCTGCCAAGACACGCTTCGGCTTTGGTCAAGGATCGATTTGTTCCCGAAATGGTCGCTGATTCAGATGTTCGGCAAGATGTTTTAGGTCAGCTTGCGCTCGGGCGGACACATAATTAGGTGGATTGCGGTCATGTGGGACCGTTGGGGAACGGTTGGCTTGTTCTGATATTGGCTTCATGAGGCTTGGCTGTGAATGAGCTGGGTTGTGAAGATTCTGCCTGGCGCTTCGGGGCAGTATGAAGTCAGGCCTGCGCAAACGAACAGGCAACGGCAATAACAGCTGCGAGCAAAGGCTGCTTCGACAAAAGGAGATGGTATTGATGGCAAACATTGCCTTCCTGGACAAACATCACACGCCACAAGCACCAAAAGCACCAAAAGCACCAAAAGCAAAAGCTCGAAAGCCAATAGGCCGAGCCCAGAAGCCCAAGAGCCATCAAGGCTGCAACAAACGACCCGCCCTGGTTTCCACTTTTACCTAGACATAACTTTCCCTCAATGGGGACATCAACCACAAAAAAAAAACATGGGCAAACCACCAGGCAGAAGCCTTTGCTGGTTCGTTTGAAGGGAAACCGACAGGAAACCCCAAGATTTGTTTTTTGGGGGGGAGGGTCCCCCAAACAAAAGAAGTTGCAATCTATCTGCGGTCCCCAAGTCAACCTTTCAACTGTGGCCAAAGGAAGCCTGGGTCTGCACCATCCATGGGACGCAGAACCGTTTCCCGCCGCGCGCCGTGTTGATCACTTGGCTGGCAACTGGGATTCTCAAACAAATCCGTCCCTGTGGGTTGGCAAGAAAAACCGAAACCGGGCTGCGCTGGAGAGAGCGGCGCTTCCACCTTGAGAAACACACAGTGCAAGGATCCAGGCGCTGTCTCTTCCATGAGGCTTGCATGGCTTTGTTTTGATCTGCGAGGCACAACAAAGTCTCTTGAGCCAACCCGCCGCGACACATGGCCACTTCGTCACCGGGGTTTTGTTTGGACACGGCTTAGTGCTGACATAAACCAACGCGGACGGTCCCTACTTTAGATATCGGACAGGTTCCAGAAGTGGGACTCGTCCCATGAGTCTGGTCATTTGTTGCTCGCGCAATTTCGTCAAAGGCCAGCAACGTGATCAGGAAGTTGACGTGCTCCCTTGCTCCCTCCTCTGATTCGATCGCTTCCAGGCTCTGCCGCTTGTCTCCGGGGTCGCTGGCGTGAGCAGCTTCGCAAAGGCAAAAGCGTTGGGGCCTGTGATGGACAGCTTGTCGCTCGTCAGGAAGCCCATGATATACGCAATGTAGAGCTCCCAACAACCTGGGACACAGCAATTTGGGCCGTCTGAGCCGGTTCAGCAATCTTCAGTTGACCATCTGGCCTACTCTCCTCTTCAACATGGAACCCAAACAAGGTTGCAACCAAAACAAGATAGATTCCTCTCAACACCATTCTTTGGGAGGGCTTTCCCTGAACATCGGCACAAAAAGCACCTCGACTTTTGGACGACCCGCTTCTGAAGCTTTCGCGTCGTCGCGCCAGGGCACACCAAATCCGTGTGGTCCGGTTTCGAACCACCTGGCAAGTGGATGGACCCTGTCAGGTTACCCTTTCTTTGAATGGGGCTAAACCGAACTGCTTGGAATTGGGAGGCTGAATGGAGTGCCATCTAGTTTCAGGTGGACCAACCCAAGGAGGCCTCCTGACTGAGATCCTGGTGCCTGCCCTGGCCTTGCCATCTGTGGATGAAACTTCACCCTCCATTCCAGTCGCCTGGTACTCATGACTTCATGCCTCAGAGGAAAATATAAATTGTCGTTGATCTAAGCAAATGGCTCAAATGCACCTTTTCCAGCTTTGCGCAAATCGAGCCATGTTCATCAAAGGCACAAGTGCCCCCCAACTAAGGGTACCCACCTTTTTGCGAACTGTCAAAGGGATCTATGTGCTGAACGGATTATACCCTTTCCAGTTGGTTCAAAGAGAAGCTCGAAGGAAAACACCAACCCGCTCAAACGGCCAGTAATTCAATGGTTGGAATCCCCTCAAAAACGGTTGGTGCAAATAAATCCGCGCTAGGTCCTCCAGTAGAGAGGTTAGAGTAAGGGTATCCTTTTTTCTGTAGTCTATTTTAGTAGGGAAACCCTCCCCCAAAAAAGGTGTAAATGACGTGCACCAAAGGGTGCCCCCCTGCCCCCCTTCCCCGCTTCCACCGCCTCCCAGGCGTTTCAACGACTCCAGGCGATCCGCGCGGCCCATAGATCTCCGCCTTCGCCGCCACTCCAGCCTCTTTCAGCGCTCGGAGCGCCGAAACTGCGGCGGCCACGTCGCGACACACCACGCTGCCTGGAAGGGGGGGGGGGACTAAAGACAGACACACGCGCATAAAGGTTCTTGATTTGGCCATGGCCCACTAAAATAGGTTCTAAACCCACAGCCATTTAAGGCCTATCCCCATGAACGCAGGTTTTAGAAGTTTACTGGTGGGTTCCAACCAAATGGCCACTTTTTGAGGTTCATGTCCGGCGCGGTTTGCAACGCATGATCATTCATCAGCATCATTCTCCCAGTCAGTCATCATTGTGTCTTTCTTACCTTTCTATTGTCATCATCACCAGCCATCATCATCATCATTATCATCATCATCAGCATTGTGATGATGAACCTTGCGCCACTTGCAATGCCAGGCATGCTATGATGATAGTCATCACCGGAGTCGTTGTTATCATAATTATCTTCAGAATCGTGGTTATCATCAGCGTCTCCTTGCACCACTTGCAATACAAGGGATGCTATGATGATAGTTATCATCATCATCATCATCATCATCATCATCATCATCATCATCATCATCATCATCATCATCATCATCTAAGCAATCATTGTCTCTTTTGTATCTTTCCGACTGTTTTGGTATTTCAAGTGCTTATCATCATCATCTTAGTCATCATCGTGTCTTTCTTATCTGTCTCACTTATAAGTACTTTTCAAGTGTACGTTAGACCCGAGTTGCAATGTAAAGGATGCTATGATGAGAGTGTTTGTCGAAGTTGTCATCATCGTTGTCACCAGCATCATCGTGGCTAATAGTGTTTATCACGGTCATCATCATGATCATTCATCGTCATCATCATCATGAAACTGATTTCAAGAGGCTCGACAAGCCCGGATACCGGGCGTATGGCAACAGCAAGGAGCCGGGCTCTGAAACGGTCACCAATTTGCAACTGGATGATTACCATCATCAGGATGCTGGGGATGCGTAGTGGATTCTCATCATGGCGATTGCACGCATCAGCACCATTATCGTCGTCATGACTCGTACCAACACAAGAGAAGTGCGGCCATTGGACGTGGCTGGGCCGAAGAGGGGTACCTTCAGGTATGAGGCTGTCTGCCCCATGCCGTCCAGCCATGCTCCTCCGACCATGCTCAGAACTTTGCCATGATATGGGGCGAAGGATTTGCGGATATGTCGAAATGTTCAAATGGAAAATTGATGGACAATGACAGTGGACGGAAAATTGATTCACGCTGTATGGAAAGTGGGGTGGCAGAAACAACAAATAATAGATGGAAGATGGGTGCAAAATGGTGGAACGTGGGTGGAACATGGCGGCATGGAATATTGATGGAGACTGGAAGGGTGGGTGGGGGTGGGTGGTTGGAGGCACAGGCCTGACAGTCGGTTCCCGGTGGCCAGTTGCGTCGCGTCAGCATGTAAATCCGGCAGTCGTCCGTGAAACGGCCGAAGATCTAGGCCGAACGCCTACCTTCCGCCGGCCCGCCACAATATGGCGCGAAGGATTTGCGGATTTGGTTAAGCGATTCTTGACGACGAAAGAAAAACCATAGCGGACAACATCCCCGGCATCACCTACATCATCCTCACCCATGGCGGGCATTGATGTTCATGATGCTAGTGATGTGGGCGATGCTGTCCATTATGCGCACCTGTGGAAAACGTGAAAGAACACTGTGTTTGATGGTTTTTGGCAGAAAAACACGTATTTCTTTTGCGCGTTGTGGAAACATTGAAAACGCATAGTGTATAGTGTCGCGTAAGCTGAGTTCCCGCTGGCCGGCTGTTGCACGTAGCGTTTAAATATTGTATGTGTAATATATCTATCTGTGTATCTATCTATCTATCTATCTGTGTATCTATCTATCTATCTGTGTATCTATCTGTGTATCTATCTATCTATCTATCTATCTATCTATCTATCTATCTATCTATCTATCTATCTATCTATCTATCTATCTATCTATCTATCTATCTATCTATTTATCCTCCCCATCAAACTGGGTCCCTAGCTGCATTTTGAGGGGTCAAACAAAAACTGGGTGTGGCCCCAAGATGATGGCTTCCCTTTTGGCGTGTTTTTTTGGGTTGCCCCATTCAGCCAGCCCAAAGAACGCGGAGTTTGAGGGCGCACCTCCATTCGCAGGTCTGCTGCCGTAAGCTCCCGCGCGAACCCGCTTCTCAGATGGTGGCGGCTTCCCCAGACCCGATTGTCATAATTTGCGGTGGGGGTAGCGGTTTGCCGGGAGTGGACACCATCTTAGAAACATAGGTGGCCCAAAATCTGGTGTCTTGTCCCTCCAAAAAAAAAAACGTGGCAGCTGCCACTTTTGTCTTGGGTCAGAATGGGGAACACCGCCAAAGAGAAGTTGTTGTCTAGTCCGCCAATGAATTCCCCAAAGCCGACACCACGACGCATCCGGAGATGGCCTGCAAAGGTCGGTGCTTGCCATTTGGATCTGCGTGAGATTCCCAATAAATATTATTATGTTTTCGGCAAATCCAATTGGCAACACGTGGTTCCCCGCACCTGGAGGTGATTGCGCACCTTTCAATCAATGAACGGTTGCGATTTCGTTATCCACAGCCTGCAGCGGAACATGCGTCGCAACTCATCAAGGCTCGGTGATGGCCTGGATCGGGCCATTCACATTTCCCAAGTGGTCCAGACAGCCTTGCGCCGACTTGTAGGCCTCTCTGCAAACGGCTTGTCCTGCAAGACTGTGAGAACCAATTGCGAACTCAACAAACCAAGACATCGACGACACTGGATTTGCCTCGCAGCTTGCTTTCGGGCAGGCAAGCAAACAGGAAAACTAAAAAATCAACAACGAAAAGGCAGAATGGGCGTGCCTTCAAGGATGCTGAAGCCATAGTGCAGCACTTGCTCCTCAGTCTTTGTGTCATTCACAAAGTCAATGACGCCTGAGATGAAGTCCAGGCGATGGTGCACCTCTCAGCGCACTCTTGGCCAAGCCAGACCCACCAGTTAGGCAACTGACCTGGAGATGCGATTCTCCTCTTGACCGTAGGGGCCCCATTGAAATATGTGGGTGTGTGCGTGGTTTTTTCTTCTTGAGCTTTTGAAGGAGAAAAAAAGGAATCCCGTCATTTTGGGGGGTCCCCGATTTTGACACACACCCAGCGCCCTCCTTCCAGTACACGCGAATGTCCACAGTGGTGTCATGTTGCGGCTCCTCTTTGGGGATCAAGATGGAGCGCAGCTCCGGGCGCGACAAGAAAGCCTCCCAACCTTTATCTCTGTTCTTCCCCATCTTCGAGCATATGAACCTTTTTTGCTGATCAACTGCAGTTCACAACCGCGATGACAAGTTTCGCGTTTGATCCGCACGGCGCTAACGGCTGCACGAGAGCAGACTTGAGCTGACCAAAACCTGCCACTGACGTTCGAAACTGAAAA